CAACATCAGCAACTGCATAGTAGAAACTCGTTAAAATCAATACCCTCAAGTAAGATTGTCCATTTACTCAATTCTCACACGCCAATCAGTCAATTAGATGATTCGGTGCCATCGGTGACCTGACGATGAGCGAGCTCTAATCCAGCGGCTTCAAACTACAGAGCTTCGAGCAAGACTTGACCGTCGATCGGTCGAGACTCGAAAGGATCGACCTACCCCAATCTTTTCCTTCATCTGTTGTACCTTCTCAAAGAGATCCTTGTACAATCCCTCGGCCTCCTCTAGCTGCGAGGCAAGATTATCGTTGTAGTCCTACAAGAGAGGGTCATCCCTCATGGACCGTATGCGTACAGCTACCTTCATGACCTGACATTTCTCTCTTAGCTGCTGGAGACGTCCCTCTCTGCCTTCACGCTCATGCCAGAAGGACTTGGACATGTTCATTATCTAAGAGGTGTGATGATAAGGCGAGCCTCAATCATATCAATGAGCCAACCTGCTGCTCGATCGGAGGTATCTCGGCCACCTCTGGAGGAGCTACAATAGGTTCAGCATCATCCTCATCCCCAGTAGCATGATTATGGTGCTTGTGCAGAGACTGTACAGTTCCGTAAAAGTGTTGAGCGTACACCTATGAGACATCCATTCCTCCCGATGCCCATATCTTGCGTTATCACATAGCCATTCATCGATTTGATGGGTTGTTTAGATTCCAGAGCCTCATCGACATCGGCGTCAGGAATACCAGTACGGAGCCATGCCTCGGGTATGATCCATGTTGACTCTTTCCTGTAGTGTTCAAACACGAGGATCTGAGTCGAGAGTGATAATCGGGCTATATGCCGTCAGATTACACCACCTTCTCATCCGTTTCCTCGATCGGTCCACTGGGAACCCAAATATTTAATTTACCCCCTGAAAACGACTATTTATGAGCGGATTACGAGGAGTACGCTACTATTAAGTGAGATGTTGAACCAATGAGGTTGGCCATGTGTTTCGTCACTCTTCTTGCCGTCCTCTGCGTCGCCCTCACCACCCTACCAGCTATAAGGATAGAGAGTGATTGGGAAGGAGCTTGGGTTACCCAGTCTCCAGCATTGCTACGTGGTTCAGGATTACTCAATTTAACTCCAACAGAGAAGCCTTCCCAACTACGGTCAGTAGAGTCACCCAACAGGAC